GTACAAAATACATTGACAATTGCCTTGAAATACCATTATATGTTTCAAAAACCGGCCACAAAAACTCAATTTTTGTAGCAGTGGTTCCTCACGCTACAATCGAAGGCTTAACACTATGATTTCAACTCAATTTTTCAGATTTGGCCCCTTGCAGCACTTCTATTTCTTCGCTACTACTAGCACTGGGCGTAGTGCTAGTAGTAGCGAAGAAAACAAGTGGATATAATTGTTCACCACATATACAAGTTAGTTATCTCTATGAGAATATTTGCAATATATGACTGCGAATTTATCCCGTGAGGCTACCAGACATGTTCCACTGTTTAATTTATAGATAGGATGGGCATGAACTTTACCTTTAAAGTTGAACGAGATCTTGCATTTGGGATTTACTTTCAATAATTGTAATTGTTTGATTGCGTACACATAACACATTGGTTTCTTAAAGGCAAGCTTCAATAAATTATTGCTTCTTCTTTTTCAATCCGAATTCCATAAATTATTAGTAGAAACAGGAATAATTAAAGAGCTCAAATATTTGGAAATGGTAAATAGTTCATGATACAAACAATTTTAGACAAAACAATTAATACTACCATCATTACTACTTATTTTTGTTCGATTTGGTTTTTGGAAAAAAAAAATATTGAAAGATGAATTGCTGTCCATCTAACAAATTCTCAATTGTGTGCCTAAACAGTTGGGGGAGGGTGTTTCTACCTTATGAATACACATTTTGTACCCACTTGGTATTAAAATTCAACCTATTTTTTATTAAATTTTGAATTATATTTTTTTTGTTTTAAATTATTTTTATTTTTAGATCGTTTTAATTTGTTGATATTAAAAATAAATTTTTAAAAATAAAAAAACTTATTTTAATATATTTTTAAATAAAAAATATTTTAAAAAAACAATATCTACATTTCTCTCCAATAGTCTCTTATCCAGTAGCTAGGGCTAAAGGTTAGGCTGATATGTATTTTCCTCGATGTCATTTATGAACCCAATAAGGCAAATGGATTTTTTTAAGCGTGAATCTTGACACAAGTGGAAGGAAGGAAATAAACAAAGGTGGGTATTTTCACAGATCACAGCAGTGTGTGGGTAATTTGCAGATTGATTAATGACCTAACACCTATGAAAACTATTTGATTAATGACCTAACACCTATGAAAACTAAATTCTTTTAGTTTAAAAAATGTTTTGTAGAACTGAGAGATATGCAAGTCATCGTAAATCTTCTGGAAAAATATATCTGTGGTTCATTCATCTGGAATTCCTTTTTGTTTTTCTTTGACAAGGATAGGCTCACAACACTCTTTCGATTCCCCACGAAAAGAAACCGATCAAGCCATTACCTTGAATACCTGCTTTCTGACATGATGATAAGTATTATTCTCATCTCAATAAATCCCATTTGTAGGTGCTTCGACGGCGCTTTCAAGGGAATTGGGACAAGCACTATTAGGTTTGGAGAAAGAGAGAAGGCTCGGTCACTCTCCATCTTCAAAGTCGAATAACTTGTGGTCAAACAATTCAGCTGTGCTAGAAGGTCTTCTGGCTGATGCGAGGCTGGTTTGATATTTAATTTTGTTCCTCTCTTAGCTCATACCTAACCAAAGTTCAAGTCCCAGACACCTTGCTCCGCGCGTATGTAGAGTCCCAAGTATCATCAACAAAAATGTTTCACCATGGTTAAGAGGACGAGTCTCTGCCGCAAATCTTAAGATTGCTCTGAAAGAACTAGGACGTGAGGATGATAGAAGGGACGTGGGCATGCGGTCACCAATGATCTCATGCTTAATTCAAGCAAATTATGAGTTATTGGCAGGCGCATATATACGTTGATTGATGATACCGATCGGTTAATTAGGGAACGCCGTGTACAGTTTGGACTCAAATTTGTCATGTCCAGTCCCTATTCAGCTTTTTCTCTGATTCCTAACGCATGATAGTGCAGTGGCTGAAGCTTCAAGTTCATGTTTTTATTGTAGCTTTCATCTATTTGATCACTACAACGACAGGTAACTTGGCTACAAAGTGTTGCTTCGGTTGATCAACAGGCTAGCACATCAGAGCTTTTGGATTAACATATCAAAGGATCAAGAAGAACATATACATGTATTGAAAGGTGATAGAACAATACACTAGAAAAGGTTCGGATTGTTTTTCATGATGAAAAACTCGGAGAAGGGAGGTGTTCAACCTGTGTGTTGGTGGTCCTACCACGTGTAGCGACAAAACGAATCGTATCCCTTAAGACAGTTGACAAAACGAATCTTTTTATTTACAGTACTCTCGGTTGGGGCAGTAATTAGGGCGGTCGTTAATTTGTTTACAATGTTGTTTTTTTAGTTAATTAATTAATATACTTAGTATTTTTATTCAATTTAAATTAAATAATTATGATCTCATCTATAGTAAAAATTAAATTAGATTTAAATTATGATACTAAAAATTACATCTATAAAATTGTCGGATTTTTTTATTAAAAATTAACTTAAGATTTTTTTTTTTATTAATGTAGGTGTTCGAGCCAGCTTGCGCGCACCATGACTAATCTCACGGTCCATTAAAGATCCTGCAAGCCCAGTAAACAGGTAAGGCATAGGTAAGGCACTGCGGGGGTGACAGACATACCATATAAAAAAGACCTAGTGAAAACATGAAAAGAATAATTTGTCAACCTCATTCCCACCAGGACTCGAACCTAGAATCAAAGGAAGGCAAGCAGTCCCGTTAGCAGCTGACCCACGACCCTGCAGGTATTAACTTAAGATTTTATAGCGTAAGGACTACTTATTTTTATTTGATTTGGATTTTGGAACAAAAAGAAATTGAAAGATGAATTGCTGTCCATCTAATAAATTCTCAATTGTGTGCCTAAACAGTTGGGGGAGGGTGTTTTAGAATACACATTTTGTACTTGGTATTAAAATTCAACCTATTTTTTATTAAATTTTGAATTATATTTTTTTTTCAAATTATTTTTTATTTTTAGATTGTTTTGATTTGTTGATATTAAAAATAACTTTTAAAAATAAAAAAAATTATTTTAATATATTTTAAAAAAAACAATATCTACATTTCTCTCCAATAGTCTCTGATCCAGTAGCTAAGGCTAAAGGTTAGGCTGATATGTATTTTCCTCGATGTCATTTATGAACCCAATAAGGCAAATGGATTTTTTTTAAGCGTGAATCTTGACACAAGTGGAAGGAAGGAAATAAACAAAGGTGGGTATTTTCACAGATCACAGCAGTATTTGATTAATGACCTAACACCTATGAAAACTAAATTCTTTTAGTTTAAAAAATGTTTTGTAGAACTGAGAGATATGCAAGTCATCGTAAATCTTCTGGAAAAATATATCTATGGTTCATTCATCTGGAATTCCTTTTTGTTTTTTCTTTGACAAGGATAGGCTCACAACACT